TGACAAAGCATACAGAGGTGGTTCCCTCCTTTTGTTATGAATCCAGGGGATTGAACTCAGGTCTTGGCTTTCATGGCAAGTACTTTCACTTGCTAAGCTGTCTTGCTGGTTCAGAAAGCATATTCTCATTGAAGGTAACTGTGTTCATTGCTGTGCCTGCCACCAGTGTAAGCCTCTGGCTGACAACATATACACTGATTTATAAAAAGTAGGAGAGGGTCTGTGATATAGCCCAATGGGTAAAGCTGCTTGCTGGGAAGGCTTATCACCTGAATTCTATTCCTGGGACCCACAAAGTAGAAGGAAAGAATTAACTCCTGAAGGGTGCCCTCTGACCTCCACACACAATCTGTGGCATGGGTTGGCTTCTGCCCCATCCCAAATAAATACATGTAAAAAAAAATAAAGCAGAGTCAAACCTTATACAGTGTTTAATCACTTTGAGCAGTATTTTTCTATAGAACTATTCTTAAAATGTTTTGGATAATTTAGCTTACCAGTAAGGTCTTTCTGAATATATTTATCAACATTAAATACTGCTTTGTATTAATACTACCATGAAAATCTTGACTTAATGCCCTGATACATATGTTAATTCATGAGGACAATGCCTCCTTTATGTCACAAGAAGTCTCTTTGACCTCTCTTGTATGCAATTGTAATCCTAATGTTCACTATTAAGGAGGTTTCCTTTTCTTTAAAACCCTTGCTTTTCATATACCATTATTTGATTGGCTTTGTTTCTGAGGAGGAGGAAGCTATTATGTAGTAATTTTTATTTTCTTTTTAGATAGGATTTATGAGATTTTTTTTAAGGTCATCTATGTCAGAAAAATCTTATTCAGTATTTGAATGTTTGATAGTTTGGCTGGGTATAGAACTCTAATTTGAAGTCATTTTCCTTTGTTTTGCAATTGAAGATTGTACAGGAAGCAAGTGCTCACTAATGAGCTATATCTTGGACTTAAAGTGCAATTCTGTTCTGGACTTAAAAGTGCAATTTTTTTTCTTCATATAATAATAGGCTTTGAAGTTTTCTTCTTGATGTATAGTGAATTGCTTAGTATTGTTGGCTTTGCTCTCTGTCTTCCTTGTTAAAGACTTAGTTGGGTTCCTTTTTCTGGGCTTACTTATATAATACGATGTGGTAGGAAAAAGTCAATTGAAATACCTAAGTTTTTAAAAAAATTTATTTAATGTGCACTGGTGTGAGGGTGTCAGATTCCCTAGAACTGGAGTTACAGACAGTTGTGAGCTGCCATGTGGGTGCTGGGAACTGAACCCAGGTCCTCTGGAAGAGGAGACAGTGCTCTTAACCACTGAGCCATCTATCTCTCCAGCCCCCAAAATACCTACATTTAGATAGATTTAAACTTTTGTTGTTGTTGCTGGAGTTGGAATCCAGCACCTTGTAAATGCTACACCAACCCTCTTACAAACCTACATCTCTGACCTGTGAGCTATCATGTTAATTGGGGAATCTTATTTTCAGACTTTAAGTTTACTGAAAGCTCCTTCCTGTTCACTGGACTGTGTTTGGTAAGGGCATGTAGAATTAGTGAGATGTGGAGAAATGAGGTGTTTTCAGGGTTATTCTGTCTTGTGGGGTGGATTATGTGTTTCTTTGCATGTGTGTGGAGGTCATAGAAATGCTTGAGGGAGTTGATTCTCCACCTAGTCCTTGTGTCTGTTGTGTTCCACCCCCTCCAGGGAGAAAGGGGATGCGTGCCTTTGGAGTTGCAGTTGAAGAAAGCAAGCAGGTTGGGCTGTGCAGGTCTGAAATTGTTGTAAGGGAGGGCAGGGTCTCCAGAAAGGTGGACGAGCAGGGAAAAGGAAGTTGGTGAAGATCTAGTGTGTATGTTAGCACTCTTTTATGTCCCTTTTCCCTAAGACATGACGTTAACAACGTGTAGTGTGCCACAACTAAGTAAGTGGACAGTCTACCAAAGCATAGTAAAAGTCTTACTACTTAAAGTCTGGTAATTTTCAGTAATTTATACATGCATTGTTATTACATTAATGTGGTAAATAAAAAATATAGTTTTCAATTCCCCCCTTCATTACTACTTGTGTAATTCCTGGCAAATGATTATATTCTCTGGACATAAAAGTTGGTAGTGTAACACTCTCAGGAATGTCTAGACTCTTGACATTGCGGCATGACCTTGTCATTTACAGATTAGTTCTGAGACATCCTGGGACTGTAGGACATGCCTGCATCATTGTAATAATGAAATGAGAATAATGTGCCAAGGCATGCTTGTTTCTCATTGGAAGAGATTAAATGTGAGATTGTCATAGAACTGTTTAGCTAATATTAAAATTTTCTTCCAAATCATTTATTTGAAAAAATGGCACTTATTTAAAATTTCCGAAAAGATAATTTATGTCATTAAAGTCAAGCTATGCTGGACTTAGAAATATTAATAGAATTTTAAAACAAATAATTAAGTTATATGTGAAAATATCTTAGTGAAATCTATTAAACTATATAATAAACAAAACCCACCTGGAAGATGGCTCCGGATGCTGCACAAGTCTGACCTGAGTTCTGTCCCTGAAACCCACTGTGGAAAAGAGAACCAGCTCCCAGGAGTTGTCCTCTGCTGTCTGTGCCTGCACACAGGCCACGAGCATGTGATGTGTTCCATCTGTGTGCCCACACATCTATTAGTAGTAGTAATAATAAAAATAAATCTTGAAACAAAAGCTGACCATCTACTTCTATAGCTGTTTCAAAGCTTAGCTATGCTGTGCCAACAGTAGATACTGTACAGTTCCTGTCAAACCCTAAAAACTGGAATGTATTCCACAAAAGGCATCTCTACCACATTGGATTCTGAACTGCAGTCTTGTAGGAGGAATTAGGAAGAAAAGAGACCCTGCCAGTGAAGGTTTGCTTTTTGTGTGAGATGGTGAGAATCTCAACTTACTGTCAGTTGAGATAGTTCTGTACTATTGGACAGAAAAATGACATTCAAATGGGAGACAAACAAGACACAGTTTCTAATCTTACATGATCTATGAAGAGAGAAGTATTGAAGTGTGGTCAATGCAGCAAAGCTAGGAGTTAAGATCGTGAGAGCAAGTCGTTCCAGCGTTAGGTGATGGACGTAGTAAGAAGGAAGGGGGTCAAGGAGGAGGGCTGTTAGGATAGTTAGGAGTGGTGTGTGTTCTGGCCCATGCCTGCTATTCCAGGACCTTGGAAGACTGAGGCAGGAGGAATGCTATAAATGTAATGCTAGTAGTGTAGGCCTAATGAGTGGGACTCCTTCTCAAGCAAACAGTAGACATTGGTCACAGAATAGAGTTTATCTGGTGAGCTAGGCTGGCTTTGGGGATACAGAATGAAGAGATGTGAGCAGTGACACCCGTTGCTGTAACTGTCTTCCATTTTTCCTTGTTTTTATCTGACCAAGAGAGCCAGTGTCTGAAGGGTTGGATGAAGCTGCACTCATTGAAGCTGAATGTAGTCTGGGTTATATTTCAGCGTTTATTAATTTTTAACTGCTATTTAATCTCTGAGCCTGTTTTGGCTATCACGAATTGGTGATAAAACCTGCCATTAGGATCAGAGTAACAATTGAGATAGCATCTAAAATCTGCCAGATAGCTACAGTTTGGTTATTTGTAATACCTCATCCCATTGAACTTAACATCCCAGTTTTACAGTAATCATATCTATTCCAAACATTCCTAGTTTACCAACCTCCTGTTTTCACTGAATAGACAAAGCTGCCCTCAGCCATAGTTCTAAGAACTACCCGAAATCCTAGCTAGCATTCAAGGGGTGGATGCAGGAGGATTGCAAGTTTGAGGGCAGCTTGAGCATACAGTAAATTCAGGGTTTGGTTACAATGATGAAACACCATCTCAAAAAACAAAAAAGCATTGGTGTTATACATGAGTGGTGTGGAGAGAGCGCTTCCTTAGCATGTTCAAGGCCCAAGCTTTGGTCCCCATACTGTAATTTGATATGGCTTGGATCATGTGTAATGTGTCTTGTTTTCTATACTTAAGGCAGTTTTCAAAGGTGTTATCTAGTCCATCTCATGGAAAATTGAATAAAGGTCTCTTTCAAGGCTGAGTGTTAGACAAATTTTATGGAATATTTCAAAAATATACAGACATAGAATGAGATAATGAACCACATGATTTATCATCTCATGAGGCCATTGTCTTTGAATTGCATTTTTGTGATCTCTCTTCTACCCTTAGAAGTTGCAATAAATACCAGCATTTCCATGGACATAACACAGGGTAACTAAACTTGAGGACTGTGTACCAAAGAAGAAGGGAGGAAACTGGGCTCCCTCCGCAGCTCATGGCAAAGGAAGCAGAAGAGGTTCTTTGTCTGCTGCCGCCTGTGTCTCTGCCGGGCCTGCTTTGCCGGCAGTTCTCAGATTGCCAAGAGCCCCACTTCCAGACTGGCTTGGACCCTTTTGTCCTTCCTACTCTTCCTTCCCAGAGAGTCTACACTCTTCACTTTTTCCTAGGACTAATATGTTGGGAGTTCTGTGTGACCTGAGAATGTGTTTGTGACATTTGGACTTCAAAGAGAAGAAATGTTTGATTTTTATGAGAAATTGCTAAATTAAGCTTTGTTGCCATCCTAGTTTTAAGATTACTGTTAAAATTGAAAAATGAGATTGTAAACTTGGATTGAGCACTTCTGAAGCTAAGATTCTGTGGGGAAATTTTTAATTAGCTTTTTAAAATTAAAATTAACTTGATCTAATGAACATAAGATCTAAGCAAATTTGACACTCTTCATTTGATGGATGTACTATATTAAAGGTAAAGAAGAAAAAGTGAAAGAAAATAAAAAAGGGTCTTGATCTGGGTTTGAGGGGTTTGACTTTTTTCCTCCCCTTTTTTTCTGGACTGAAATGGAGGCTTTCTTTCAGGCGAATTCCCTAGTGTTTGCTCTGTGTGATCTGGCTCTATCTCTGTAACTGCTAATATGTGGCCTGGATTTCAAGTTGTTTGGGATCGGAATGTGCCCAAAGTCTGTTGCAAGTCCGGATTCACAGGCATTTTGTTGCAAAACTGGCTTGTTGCCTTCTGTTTTCTTTTTCTGTGTGCTAAGTAGCTGCATTGTTTGTTGCAGTATATGCATTAGCTATCTGTGTTCAGTTTCCTGCAGGCTGACAAAGTGGGCGGGGCTTTCTTTGATACATGGCTGAGTTTTCACTGTGTGAGTTCTGGAGTGCACATTGCAGCCATCTTAATTACACTTTTGTGCAACTGAGACTGTGCAGCTGTCTCAAAATGGCTGCTAACCCAATCTCTGAGGCTGCTTAGGCAGCAGATCTGCCAGTGAAGAGACTTGTCACATGCATCAGGATCTGAGGTAAGAACCAGTAAGCTTTTATCTTTAAACACTACAATTAGAAAACATTTGAACATAACCAGCTTTGTATAGGAAAGAGAATTTGCCTGTGAAGAAGTTGCAATGTTTTCTAAGAGCTGTAAACCTATATTAGAGAAATAATGTATTGGGATGGTGAGGTCAAAGGTTAAATTCCTGTGATTTCTCACCATTTTGTTGTCATTGCCAGAACATTTGATCACCACAGTAGTGCTTTTCAAACACGAGTGACTTAATACTTATTGTGTATTGGATAGTTAATTCATTAGATATCTGTAGAAATTCAAACAATATATAAATTGAGCATATTTTTAAAGAAGCCATAAATGAGCCTTGTTTGAAAAGAATATGATTTTCTATTTTTCAAAATGAGTTATTGTTTGGTAGGTTTATAAAAAGTGCTAATTTGCTATATAAATGAAAAAATAGTATCTTTTTTCATTTTTTATTATATATTTCAATGCTTTCTCATATGCTGCCTTTTTATTTTATAATTAATATATTTATAGTGTCTCACATTCTTTATTTTTTTGTTTGAATTGACATTTGAATTCAGATTTTAAATTTCAGATTAATTTTACATATTGACCTCATACTTTTTATTTTTAAAATCTAAAGTAGTCTGATAACTAGAGAGCTGGAATAAATATTGTTTTAGTTAACTAAGTGACATAATTATGTATATTTAAAACTTAACATTCAAAAGGATTATAAATTTAAAGGTTTTTTTTTAGCATTGTAAAGCAGAAATGTTTGCTGAACTATTGTAATATACAATTTCATGGTTACCTAGCAAGCTGGGAGAATAAATTTTTCTTCCTTCTCTTTTCTTTCTTTAGACATGGTCTCAGTGTGGTTCATGTTGGCTCTAGTTTGCTAAGTAGCCTAGGCTTGTCTTGGGCCCCTGACCTTTAACCTCTGTCTCTCCAGTGCTGGGATCACAGGCGTACATGCTGCCATGTATTCCCAAAAGAGTGAATGGCATTTAGTCACATAATTTGGGCAGAACAGTAACATTTTAAGCAGCGCTTAAGTTGTAGTAATTACTAAATTATTTTCTAAATGATATAGTACACTCCTGTAACTGTGTCAATAGAATATTATAAACATATTCTTGACTAATACAATAGAGAACAGTTCTGAACATTCTGTATAGAGCTTTTATCTTCTATTTTTTGTAAGTTTTTACCCCTCCTCTGTTTTTACTTTTTTAAAAGTAGGGCCTCGAGGTATAAACTGGCCTTTTGAACATTTGTTCTGTGGCTTGAGCTGGCCTTGAATTTGCAATCCTCTTGTTTCAGCCTCCCAGAATTATAGACAAGTACTACCATGCCTGGCTGTAAAAGCAACTTTTCAAACAGAAAATTAAATTTTTTGCAAATTCTTAAATTCTTAGGGAAGGCTCCAACATATTAAACATATTAAAATTCCAACACATGGAATTTTATTTTGTACTTATTTTATAGTATGGATTTATTAAATTTACTTGTTGTAATTGTATTTAATATAAGCTATTATAACAAAACTTTGAAATGAGATCACATATGACTTTAGAAGTTTACATTAGTGTGCAGATGTAGTTCACTTATTTGTAGAACTTAGCCTCGAATGCACTATGGAATTCTGTTTGAAATTTATCCTTGAATGCATCTACTTTTTTTTTCCTTTCTTTGTTTTCTTAAAGGTGTAGACTAGAACATTAGGTCTGCTACTTAACAGTTGAAAATTGCTACCTTGTCATAAACTTAAATTTATACTTGCTCTTGATATATGTATGTATGATTATATGTGTGTATATATATATGCACACATGTTTAATAAGATAGGTTTTTTGTCATTTAATCACAAGTAAAATGATGATTCATCATAATTTGAATGATAATTTGTAAATCATTTGGGCATGTTCAGGAAAACTTGCTATGTGTGAGCAAGTGAGCGAGTCTGCTTTCCTTTCTGTAAGGTCCTGCATGACAGGAGAGAGAACTGCCCCAGCCTCAGTCTCCCTTCTCCTGTCTGAGGAGTTCAGTGTCTTGGTGGAAGGATGGAGGGGAGATTATGAGGTTTATATGTAGATCTGAAGAACATTACAGAAGATAGCCACTTGGTCTTTAACCCACTTGGTCTTTGATGTGGAGGAAAATGGATTAGGTTGACATTAGTGAATAGTTTATGTTGTCATTCACGTGTTTTTTTTTTTTTTGCCTTCTGTTGCTGAGTGTAGAGTTTATACTCAGGCTTAACCACTTATATGCATGGGGAAATCTAAACTCTGGTTACTTAGGCTGTCATTGCTAACTTTTTCATTGCCATTTTCCATCTTTATAGCTTATAAGCATGAATTAGATCTTGAATTTTGTGTTGGTGGCAGTTTTCAAAATTTCTGTAATGAATTACTTAATTATTATTATTATTAATTTTTATTTTTTTGAGAGAGTTTCTCTGTGTGTAGCTCTGACCCTTTGGGTGTATGTAGTCCTGACTGTCCTAGAACTTACTCTGTAGACCAGGCTGGCCTTGAACTTACAGAGCCTCCCAAGTGCTGGGTCTGACGGCATATATCACCACTGCCTGGCTGGGAACTGAATTCTTGAGGCCATATATTGTCCATTCTTTTTTCTCCTCCCTATTGTTTACCCCTTTTCATAAACTACTCAAAAATAAATTAGTATAAGTCTCAAAAGGAAATATGGGGATTGTGGACAGTTCATTGACTCAAGACTACACTTAAATTTGAATTCCCTTTTCTTACCTTTTTCTGATACTAACTGGATTGTTTCATTTCTTCAGTTTATTCTCAAATGTCATATACTTAGCCATGTGTGACTAGATCAGAGTATCTTGGGAAAGGATGAAGAATTAAGTAAAACCTGAATTGAATGTTGTTATTACAGAATCGCAAGTGTAGGATAAATGCTTCAGTTGTGGTCTGGGTGAGTTGTCCAAATATATTGTAAGAAAAACATGTAAGAGATGACTTGAATTCAGGGCCAAGTGTTACTTGTGCTTCAGGTATAAATGAGGACCTTAGGAGCAGTTCTCTTTTAGTGGCCACAAACAGCTGTTGGATTTATTTTATCCTCTAACTACTGCCCATTTTTCTACTTAACATCTAACATCAATTTTTACTAACGATTCACATCTTGCCTCTTAATGTTGGATGGGGCGATGGAGTACCTGTGTCTTTCCAGTAGTATACTCTGAGTAGATAGGTCCCTTAGGCGTGACATCCTCTTCACTAGTTTCTTCTCCAGGGCAGTTCCCTTATAAACCCTTGTGAACTCAATTAATGGAAGCGTTGACAGCCTTAGATACCTAAAATACAGTTTCTAACCCAAAGAAAATAAACATAAATAAAATCTAGTCTACTCTACCTAACCTAGGGAGACCTAACAGATGTAAAGGAAGTGTATTCTTTAGAAGATATGGTAACTTTGATAGCATTTTTTCTAATTAAAATTTTTCTGGAGGTTTATTTTTATGTTTATGGGGTTTTGGTTGCATGCATGTCTATACACCATATGTGTGCAGTGCCCACAGATGCCAGAAGAGGACAATGTTTCCCCTGGATCTGGGTTACAGACAGTTGTAAGCTGCCATGTAGTTGCTAGGAATTGAACCTGGGTCCTCTGAATGAGTAGTAGTCAGTGCTCTTAACTGCTGAGCCATCTTTCCTATCTCTGTTGTATTTTTTTTCCCCAATGTTAGAGTACTGTGGGGCCTAAAAGATTTAGTGACATCAGTCTAAGATTTAAAGTGAGAAGATTAAAGTACTCAATTAGAAATATGTAAAGGGACCTTGAGAGTTTCTTCTGTTAATGGTATCACTGTTACAGACATCATTGACTTCAACCAGTCTTGATGGTGGTGTAGAATAAGAAAACATTAAACTGCTTTCCAGATGTACACCTTGCTACAGTTAAGTGAAGCAACATTTTGTTATCCATGGTTTCTACCAAAGTGAACACAGTTTTAACAACTTAGTGAGTTTTCTAATAGGAAGTTTCCTTACTTGAAAATAATTTCTGATAGTTAATATTGGAAGCCAATATCTTAGCTTTGAAAATTCCTCTCTACATTGTTGACAGCACCATGTCAGCTTGAAAATTGTTTGATGGTGCATAAACTAGTAAGTTACCATTGTGGCCTAACCAAGCCCCCAATTAAATGCCTTCTTGTATAAGAGTTGCTTTGGTCATTGTGTCTTCATAGCAATAGAACAGTGAGTAAGACAGAAGCTAGTACCAGGAGGGGAGTATTGCTGTAACAGGCCTGACCATGCTCCTTCTTTGAGGAATATGGAAGACTTTGGGCCTTTAGGTTAGGAAAGTGGTTGAATGCTTTAAATGGTGCTTTATGGACCTTACTAGTAGGAACACGGAAGACTGGCGCTGAGAGCAGTCTAGAATATGATGGCTGGCTCCAGAAGTGTCAGAGGGGAAGAATATTTGTAAGTGGCCTAGAGACTATTCTTATGATATTTTGGCAAAGAATGTGGCTGCTTTCTGCCCTTGTCTGAAAAATCTGCTTGAGCTTAAGTGAATAGTTTTGGATTCACAGAGGAGATTTTTGGTTTTCTGAGACAGGGTTTCTCTGTATTGCTTTGGAGTCTGTCCCGGAACTCCGTCTGTAGACCAGGCTGGCTTTAAACTCAGAGATCTGCCTGCCTCTTCCTCCTGAGTGCTGGGATTAAAGGCGTGCGCCACCAATGCCCAGCCCCTTTCAGTTCTTGAGGCTTTATGATGAATGTGATACTTAACAAGTTCTTGGCATTCAGACCTGGACCTCCCCACTCTCACCCAGTATTGAGTGTGTGGTTAATTCTGATGTCGCCTTGTTCTGCTGTCATTCATCTGCTGAGGTGGACAGATCTTGAGAGGGCAGTGCAGTTATCTCAGAATTTATCATTTCCTTTCAGTGATTCTCTCTCCCAGATAGCATACCTGCATGTCAGGAGGCCGCCATTTACTGTTTATACAATAACA